GTCCACTTCTTTCACCTTCTTGTTTGTTTGATTCATCATTTTCAGAGTCTCGCTTATCTGATTTTGTTGAGTTGGTGATACACTAGGTCATTGATGTCATCTGCTCTTTGAGATTATTCATTTGGTCCAGCAGGTGGCGCATGGAGTCTGCCAAAGTCTTTGCCGGCTCGTTGACTCTTTCCAGTTTTGGGCTCTCAGTTACTTTCGATTTCAGATGCTTCTCTTTCTCCGTCCTCTTCCCCGCCATCTTTTTCTCTTTGTTTACTTTCGCAAACTTTTTGAAAGTCTCTGAATATGCTCCTTAATGCTCGCACTCGCCTTGGTAAGTACTCCTTAGCAGTTTTAACCTTTTATGCTTCCGCTCCCCCCCTCAATCCTTCTGTTCCCCCCTCAATCGCTCTAAAGTCTATGCGTTTGGGAGGCGTCCTTCCCCCGCTCGCCTTATCTTCTGTTCCGTGGGGCGGGGGTGGGGAGTGTCTTTTCTTTTTAATCAATGCTTAACGACTCACGTTCATAATTGGTCCACAGACCTCGTTTACACTCCATTTCACGCTCGATCTCCTGCGCTTGCCTCGGTCAGCGTCTCACTTAGTCTCAGCACGAAGAACCATCAGAGCGGAGAGGTGCCTCAATTCTGCGGCATTACACCGTCAAAGAGGCAACCTCTCAAAAGCTCCATGGCCAGGGTCCCTTCAGCCGGGTCCCGGGGGAGTAGTGAGCCTGCACACACCCTCCTTTGGCTGGAGCGCAGCTTCACCCCCGGGAGGTCCGGGAGGTGAGTCTGCTAGTGTGCTGCCATCAACTGGAAGAATCTGGAATGGCTGCTGTTGAACAGTCAGAAAGAGCGTGGGTGAGTCATGCAAGTCGTGTCGTAGCAAGTTGCCTAGTGGTTGCTGTTGTGCCTGACCCCCAATGAGTCCTCCCTCACAGGCCAAAGCAGCCCTGGAAATGGCCCTGTCCCCTTCCAGTACTTTTTCCTGACAGAAACCAGGGCTTGGAGGCTAGCAATACTGTTGTGGTTGCCTAGCAATGGCTATTGAGGATATTTGTTTCTTAAAACTACAGGCACTTTCTATTTGGGGAGGTTAACAGTTAACCCCCCGATATATTTTAGTTTTAGATTTCAGATTTTTTTTGCAAACCTGGTTTCTTTTCAGGTTTCTAGAAAGATCTTTCTTGTCTGTTCATGGCTTTAGTCTCTGAATGTAAGTATCCACAGATATGGCCATATTGAGAATTAGATACACTAATGGTAGCCCTGGGAAGCATCAATACCATGTTGTCAGCCCCACATAGATGGCCGATGCTGCGAAAGTGTTTAAAATAACCAGTGCTGCAAAGGTGTTTAAAATAACCAAATAATTAGTAATTAGCCCATAACATCCATCCATAGAATTTTAAGAAATTATACCACATGTTCTTCTCAAGAGAGTTACTCAGTTCAAGTATCACATGAAACCATGGTTTCATAAGATTATGATTAGTGAAATTAACTGAATATAGCCACAGTAATTATGGCTAGTTAGAGCACATCAAACACAGGTCTAAAACCAAGACTGAAGTTGGTTTAGCTCTGGTTTTGCATGACGTATAAAAGTCCATGTAATGATTTCATGTTTGTTTGTGTGTGTGTGTCTTTAAAAGTTTGGTTTACATTGCTGTGTGAAAGTCTAGTGTGGTTGAAACAGGCAAGTGGTGTGATTGGTGAGTGACAGAGAGGGGGAGGGGTTTTGGAATGGATGCTGTGTGGATGATTTGAATGTCTATCAGGAGTGACTGTTAGAGTTTAGACAGTTAGGCAGACAGTTGATGTTCAGTTAAGCAGTTGGAGTTCTGATTTCTGTGAGAGAAGCAGAAAGTCAGTTAAGTTCTGTCTCGGAGTGGAAGGAGACATCCCTGTGTGGGAAGGATTAGATTCTGTGTGTGAAAAGAGTGACATTTAGTTCTGTGTTATAGGAGTTACAATTAAAAGCTGAGAGTCTAGGAAAAAGTACAGTGAAAAGTGTTACAAAGTTGCTTGAAACCTCCCTGTCAGAAAAGGAGAAGCTTGTGAGAGAGACACCCAGCATTTGTTCAAATCATTCCCAGTACTGTTCACATTGTTTACCCTCGTCTTTATGCTTTCTTTAAATAAATCCTATTTCCTTCAAGTATACCAGCAGTAAAGAATCCTTCCTCAGACCACATAGTACCACGAACGCCTAAAACCCTCGGTATACCTACCCTGTGAAAAATATTATAGAAAAAGGTTCACAAATAAAAAAATATCCTCCAAAAGAACCCGTTACGACATTTAGTTAAAAAAATTACGAAGATAAAAGCTAACAGTATTCTGCGCTGCCACCAGGTTCAAAGACAACTCATAAATACCTCTGTGTAAAAACTGATGCAAAAATTACCTCTTCGTGACTATAGGAAGTTGCTTTTAATGCAAAACATTTGGGTAAGACAATCTGGATTTGCTTTTTTTTTGTCAACAAAGTTGTATTCATAGAGTCATCGAATCTAGAGTCATCGAGTTGGAAGGGACCTTCAGGGTCAGCTAGTCCAACCCCCTAAATTATGCAGGAAATTCACAACTACCTCCCCAGACAGCCCCAATGACCCTTGCTCCATGCATATTAAGCTAAGCATGCAGATTCCAGTGACAGCAAATCAAGAGGGAATCTTTTCCCCAAAGGCTTTCAAGAAACAAGATGGTTCAGGTGCTGTTCACTCCAAACCTGCAACATTCTTCTCCAGTCTTAAATACATTAGATAGCACACTGAACGGAGTATCTCAGTTCCCTTAGCAAGCATCTACCGTTCAAAAATAAGGAAGTTCAGTTTGTGAGTAGTTACCCCCAAATACTTTTAATCTTAGTCAAAGGAAGTTTTTTTTCTGTGCTCTACCCCTTAAAATATATTTCAAATCCAAAATCTATAATAAGGCAGAACTCTAGAGCTGTTTGATCATTAAAACAGCAGGATTCTTACCAGCTCATCATGATCTTTACTTCTGTTGAAGGTGTAGGAATATGGAAACAGCACCATCTGCGAATACGAATGCATTGTTATGTACGCCTTTATACGATTCCGATGCCTTCTTAGAAAGTTGACCACAGCTTTCACTTCTGGCTCAGACTCAGGGTAAGGTCCACAGTAGGTCTCATCACAGGGATCGTCAGAGGCACCTTTACCTTTAAAAAAAAAAAATCAAAATAGCTTACATAAAACTCTGGGGGGTCCTCTAAACCCCCACTAATCTACCTTGAGTCTGGTTCCATAGAAAGGTGGGTTAGAAATGAAATGCTCTAAATCAATGGATGTATACAGTTATTTCTCCCACTAGATCAAGACTCAGATCACGTCTCCTTTTGTACTACAGGAAACAAGTTCTGTGATTTCCCTGCTGCTTCAGGCATAGGGATGCCAGCCTCCAGGTGGGACCTGGTGACCCTCCAGAATTAAAGCTCATCTCCAGACTACAGAGGTCCAGTTCCCCTGGAGAAAATGGATCCTTTGGAGGGTGGATTCTATGACACTGTACCCCACTGAGTTCCCTGTCCTTCCCTGGCTCCACCCCCAAATCTCCAGGAGTTTTCCAACCTGGATTGGGCAACCCTGCCCCCCACTGGTGGCCAGGGGGAACCTGACAACCCTGTTCAGGCATGACATTTTATTTATTTATTTATTTATTTATTTTTCGTATTTATACCCCGCCCTCCCCGTGGGCTCAGGGCGGCTTACAGGGGCCAGGCGAAGCCTTGCCATGATAAAACACAATATACATATAATTTAAAAACATACAGTACATATTTAAAAAATCCTAATTTAAACAAAGTGCTCAGTGTCTTCAGAGTCCAAAGATGATAAGAGACCTGGTGGAAGAGCTCCGTCTTGCAGGCCCTGCGGAACTGCATAAGGTCCCGCAGGGCCCGGATCTCCCCCGGGAGCTCATTCTACCAGGTAGGAGCCGCCACTAAAAAAGCCCTGGCCCTAGTGGCGGCCAGTTTGACATCCCTGGGGCCCGGGATAGCTAGTAAATTTTGGGCCCCTGACCGTAGTGATGATCACAGAGTTAAAAAATGGAAGTTACTGTGCTCTTGCAGAGGGTGAGAGCCTATAAAAAGGTTGCTTCCCCTCCTGCATGATGGGAAGGAGAAAAAGAAACACACAGATACAGAGTTCTCCAGACGGAAAATCAGAAAACTAGGTGGCTGCGGTGGTTCAGGGTGCTTTTGCCCAGCTTTGGCTGCAGCTAGACTGCTGGTTGGGGCCAACTACCAGGAACATGTATCCCTAATACTACAGCAATTGCACCAGCTACCGATTTGCTCACAAGCTCGGTTCAAGATTTTGGTTTTGTTCTTTAAAGCTCTGTGTGGCGTACGACTGGGGCAGCCACAAGCTAAAAAAGGGAAAGAAAAACTGAAATAAGGGAAGGGATGCCCATGTTCTGCTACAAAGAATACACTTTGCACGCAGGTCAGTCCCCAGCAGTTCAAATAGTCAGACTATGAACGATCTTTCTCTGAGACCTCGGAGACCGGCCAAAGCCAGAATGGATGACATCGCACTAAACAAAGCAATGGCCTACCTCACTAAAAGGCACTAAAAGGCAATGTCATATATTCCTCTAAGAACGTGGTCTCAGTCTCCAGAAGAAGACGATCAATGCATTACAGAATCTGTTTGCTTTCCTAAGGAGATTGTTTGCTGGAGGCACGAGGCAGGTGCGGGTGATTCACTTTAATGATGCTAGTTGCTGGAAGCCTGGGTGTCCCCTTCTACAGTGGAACGATGCATTGGCCTCCTCCTACCATTTAGGGTAGAGAGCACTTCATGAGTGCAAATGGAGCCTTCAGTGAGGAAACCTCCCTTTCAAGAAGAATTAATATCATTTTCAGAGTGGCGCAGTAACAGACTGGTGACACACAGGGAAATTTCACATTACCCTTTTTAAGCCGTTTTTAAGCCATTATTGTACCGTCTTGGAGTAAACCGGTACAGGGCTGCCATTTCACACAGCCTTTCCCCTACCGGTAAGGGGCCATCTCTGAAGTGGTTTGGCATCTCAGACTGTGTCGCTTTGTTTTCCCGCCCTTTTTCGCCCGCACGTGCAATCTCCGTCCTTTTTTCTTTTTAATGTTCATTTTAGGGTGCTATGGCGCCAAGGTGGGCAGCCACGTTTGTCTGAATCAATAGAACAAAGTTGGAATCCTTTGTCCCATCGCTACCATCGTTAGTCTTGGAGATGTAACCTTTGAGGACACAGCATCGAAATCCTAATCCTATGACACTTTAAATAAATAACAGATAGCAAAACAAATATTGTACATTAAAATAACATATCTGTCTTACCACACCAGCCTGAATCAAAATTTCTGTTCAGGTCTGTACCAAAGCAGATGTTGTTGCCATGTAGAGAGCGGCTTTTTCTCCACATCCGATTCTGTAGATTTACCCACAGACAAAAAAAAAGGCATGACATAACAGCTTTACGGCGAATTCCAGATGGACGGATGGATATTAAAAACTACCCAGGTATCAGAATTGCACATCTGGAAAGGTCTAGGCCTCTGCAGAAGAACCATCCCCTACCAACGAAGCGACCTACACAGATTCCAAATCACTGCATGCTACAGGAGTACAGCAGATAGTTCTGGAGATGTATGTGAGCACACTTCAGTTTATCAAAACAGAAAACGTGTTAGATCCAGTCGGTCAGCCGCGTTGGTCTAAAGCAGTAGAATCAGCTTAGAATCCAATGGCACCTTTAAGACCAACAAAGGTTTATTCTGTTGGAAATATGCAAGGTCTAAATTCAGTCATTATAGGGTTAATGTGTTTACCTTGTTTGCTATTGTTTAGATTGACCTGGAAGGTAACCTGGCACAAAGCCAATGGGGAGAAACTGGAGCCTATTTACTAACAATAATTGGTTAATGTATTCAAGTGATTTCCTTCTCAGGTCAAGAAGAAAGAATCTCCATTACCAACTGTGTGTGGTCAGTCTGTCTGTTGTTGTACTTGTAACAGTAAGGATGTAGTCTTCAGTGTTTGTTGTTTTGTAGATTTCCTGGGAACCTTTCCCTTTAGAAACAAAGAGTTTTACATAGAAAGAAAATGCCTCCTCTCCAGTGAACAGAGATCTATTGCAAGCTCTGGATATCTAACTACTTTTACCAAAGTTTCGAACATATTCAAGGTATGAGCTTTCATGTGCATGCACACTTTTTCATATACAATGGAATGGGAGGTAAGGTTCAGCCCATCTATACGCTTGAACCTTTCCGCCCATTCCATTGTATTTGAAAAAGTGTGCGTGCACACAAAAGCTCATGCCTTTAATAAACCTTTGTTGGTCTTAAAGTTGCCACTGGACTGGACTCTAAAAAAGATGTTAGTGAAACTAAGAAGCTTAGGAGAATGGTGAAACCAAGACTACCATCTGACTGCTCCAGCCTTCTCCTTGAACCTAGTACTAGTTGAACACCAAAAGTCTTGCAGTGCAGTGTTGCACTCTTCTAAGCACATTGACTTTAACAGACACATGAGTGTAACTCTACCTAGGATCACACAGTTGGTGGTGGGATATATTTCATGCCAGCATTTCAAATGCTCCTCTCTGAATGTGCCAAAACTAAGACTGAGAAATGGTGGCCTCCCCCAAGACTTCCTGCAGTGTGTGAAACTGAATTTGGGGACTTAATGCTGGCTCCCAGTCCTCCGAGGTAGCACATGCCCAGCAGATTGCATCAGCCGTGAACGGAACTAGAATATCTGAGGGTAAAATGAAGATGGCATCATCACCACACAGGTCAGTGAGCTGCTATGAGAAGTGGGAAAGGAGTGAAATTGTCTTTCCCGCCTTTTCTATCACTGAAGCTGTGATAATGGAAGAGAGAAAAGGAAATGATTCCCCCCCCTTCCATCTCCTCACCGCAATGCACTGACCTGCATGGCTATTAGTCTGCAGAAGTCCTGTAACTCTAAGAATCAGCTTTTCCTGGAGTCATAAGTAGGCTAACGAGGTCTCCCAATGTGGCAGGAAACCTCCCGCCATCTGCCCACTGTCCCCACTGCTGCTCAAGGGATAAATGGACTGGGAAGGTGTCATTGTGCCGATACTTTCGCCACAAACCCAGAAGTTATATCACTGTGTCAGTGAGACACTCTAGGATGTACTCAACGCTCTATGGTACAATCATAGAGTTTTGGGGGATCCTAAAGAATCACACTGACGTGGTGACTTTATTTCTGTGTTTGCTCCTGGGAATGATGTGCAGGCCCACCTTCTCCCAGCAGTTGCCAGGCAATGGTTGGCGACCCTAAAAGAAGGGACTGTTATGGGAAGGGAAAATCTAGGATCCCTACATGAGCAGATTGCTGGATCCACCCCTTTTGATGTTTAATGAATGAAGGGCTCCCTCCTAACAGAAATCTGACTCACTGATATCACTAGAAGATAGTAAAGAGTCCAGTGTTCCCTCTAAGCTGAGTTAGTGTGAGCTAGCTCACAATTTTATAGCCTCCAGCTCACACCTTTTTGTCTCAGCTCAGGAAGGATGGCTCTAGAGCCAACTGATTTATGCAGTAGCCAAATCGCTCACTCACAATGCCAGGTGCTCACAAAGTAAAATTTTTGCTCACAAGACTCCACAGCTTAGAGGGAACATTGCTCCAGAGCCAGCTGATTGATGCAGTAGCCAAACTGCTCACTCACAACTTTAATGCCAGCAGCTCACAAAACAAAATTTTTGCTCACAAGACTCCACAGCTTAGAGGGAACATTGGTAAAGACTACCAGTGAATGGCATGTGGGCCCAATCCTCTATGAACCTAATACATAGTTTGTTTTGAGACTGAGTTTATTCTGTTTGGCTTCGTTCTCTTTAAATGTCATTCCCCCCCAAAGGGAAAAACACTGTTATAGCCATGAGGTGAAGAAATAGAATGCCAGGCTGACATGGTATCTGCACTTATTTCTGGGATGGGCAATTTCCTGCTTGCGAAAACAATAGAGAGGGAACTTTGCACATGGTAATCAAGTTTTCCATCTGGCCCCCAATCTGAGTCCACTTCTTACAGAGCCTCTCTGTAGCATATCATGGCACTAAATTCAGAGGGTTGCCGCGGTCCTCCCGAAGGCCCGCCTCAGGCAATTAAGTACTAACAGCCTGTTAGATAAGCAGAGGGGAAGAGGCTAGGAGCTCACAAAGGAGAAGAAACACTCCTGAATTTATCAGTATTCACCACACTGTGAGGTTTCAGAGAGAACTGGGTCCTCCTCTTGTCCCCCTCAGTATGCAATACAGGTGGGGAAAGTAAGTCCTTATTGTACTGGAAGAGTGAGTGACTCACATCCCCTAGAAATCGGGGCCTGGGGATTTCCTGCTTTTATAACTGATCTCCACCTGACAGAGATCAGCTCCCCTGGAGAACATGGCTGCTTTGAAGGGTGGACTCTATGGCATCGTACCATGCCGAGGCCCCTCCCCTCCCCAAACCCTGCCCTCTCCCGGATCCACCCCCAAAGTTTCCAGGTATTTTCCAACCAAGACCTGGCAACCCTACTGCCCACTGCTTATACTCACAGCTGCCTATACCACCTGTATGCCCTTTGCCTGACACCTCTGGGCAGTGCATGTGGCTGGAGGTGATGCTGCTGTGGCTACAAGGAGCACTGCTGCCACGCATCACCTACATGCTCTGAGCAGTATGGTTAGCTGGGAGTGCAGGAAGTGGAACACTAATGAGTGGGTAGAGGAAGGATGGGCAGAAGGAAATGGTGGGTTGGTGGCACTGGGCCCCACCAAAAGCCCTGGGTTGTGGCAGCAGGTCCACTTCAGGGTATGTTGACACCAGCCCTGGGCTCAGGGGCCAGCACTGATGTTGCCTGAAAGATTAAAAAAATATGTGGTTCTCCTAAAACTGCTTCTTGCCTGAAAGGTCAGCTTGAGCCAGGGTGGAGATTAAGGCAGACTTCCACCATCTTGGTGAAGGGTAAAAGGAAAGAATGTTATTGTCTGGTTGTTTTTCACCCCTGAATCCCAGGGGGAATCTAGCCCTTAAGATATTAGGCACCGCTTAATTAGAAAAGCCAATGGTTTGGAATAAATGAGCTGGCAGAATAAACGTCTGGCCTGTAGTCATGGTGGGGCATCTCGGGGCCAGGCCCCCTTAATTTTCAGCTATGCCCCACAAAACTGTCTCTTTAAAAAACTTTTAAAAAGCGTGCCTCAATTTTGCTGCCTCAATTCATACTTTCGTGAGAATGGTATACATTGCCATTTAGTGAACTGTGTTGTGTTTTTCAGCGGTTTAAGGTCAGCATTTAAGGCCTGTGAAAATCCTAGTCTTCCAGATTTATAATCTGCACAAAATTTTCAGACTCTACGAAGAAAGGTGAAATGAGCACACACACACCACCTCACATGATTTCTAGTGATGTCTTCTAAATTTTATATACTGGGGAAATGTAAAGATCTAGACTAGGGGGTCCCCAATGTGGTGTACATGGGTGCCATGACACCCACCAATAACTTTTCTGGCACCCACCAAGTGTTTTCAGGAAGTAGGTGGGGCCAGGCAGGGCTTTTGCCCAGCAAGGCTTCTGATTGACTGTGAACATTTTTTTAAAAATGTTGCTTTGGCAGCAGCTGCCTACCACCCAGGCTCACCCGCTAGGCGAACTAGGCATTCACCTAGAGCGGGCTGGCCCTAGGGGCGCCAAACAGGTCCCAGCCCCCCCCCCCAAAGCCCCCCCACACCCCCCCCAAAGCCCCAACAAAAGCCCACACGCCACCTAGAAGCCCTGCTTCCCGCCTCCCCCCCCCAAGACTGCCGGCAGGCCCGCCTCGCGCCTCCCTTCAGCGCCTCAGCACCCGGGCGCCAGCCAGCAAGTGCCACAGTCCAGAAGCGCCTGTAAGCACGTGTGCCACCCTCTCCGCAGCAGAGAGAATGGGGGGATGACACAACTTGTTCTTGCCTGTCTGGATCTTTCTTTCGGGCCAGGACAGCAGCCAGCAACTTGCCTCCTCCCTCCCCAGCCCCCCCTGCCTGGGGAAAGTGGGCCAGGGACTTTCAAGGGCGGGTTTTGGCCAGGACTTTCCATGAATCAGAAGGCGAGCTTTTTCAGCCAATTGCCAGCTCCGAGAGGGGTCACGTCATCTGTTGCCAGGTAGGGGAACTGCTGTCATTGGACGGAGCGTCTCTTCTTGTCTCAGCGGGGGGGGGGGTAGCGGCGGATGAGGCTCCATAGATGTGGCTGCTGCGGAATGTTGCCTCGGATGCTGCCGCCGCCGCCCAGGGAGGTGAGAGAGCGGCCAGCTAGGAGGTCTCCAGGCCTCACCAGGAGGTTGGCATCTGTGCCTCACCTAGGGCGCAGAAACACCTCGGGCTGGCCCTGCTGCCACCACAGTGCAAGGATCTACAATGTGTTACTGAGGTTAAGCTGTGGAAATCATTTTATGGCTGGCTCCACCTCCTATGGCAGCCATTTTGTTGCTGGGCCCACCATGTTGTGTCACAATTCGAAATGTGCCCTCAGGATCAAAAGGGTTGGGGATCTCTGATGCAGACCATATGCCAGCACAGAATTACACAAGTTTAAGACCATTTATTTCAATCCTTATATTGGGTTAATGATGACACATTGCAGAAGAATGCAAAAAGACTAAGAATTATGTAACCCAGTCACTCATGCCCTTGTTCATGGGGCTTGCTAATTCTCTGGACCATGGCAGGGCAATTCAGGATACATGTAGAAAGCTTGCACTTACAGTAGTCCATGTGTATTCATAGCCATCCACATTTACGACTGGCATGACATAGAAGTCAAAGTGCTGCAGAAGACTAGCCATAACTTCATCTCTCCGTCTGGAATGAGTCACCTACGCAGAATGCAAGAATGAGATTTAAGGGAAAGTGTTTAATTAGGTTTTCTCTTCTCCAAAGCTAGCTCCTTGACTGATGCTTCCATTCCAGAATATGCATGGTCCCCTTCTTCCAAATTTATAATCTGTGCAAGAATTTCAATTTGGAGCCAGTTTGGTGTAGCGGTTAAGAGCGTGGACTCTGATTTGGGAGAACCGGGTTTGATTCCCCACTCCTCCACATGCAGCTGCTGGTGTGACCTTGGGTCAGTCACAAATTCTTTCAGAGCCGTTCTCTCAAGAGCAGTTCTCAAAAGAGCTCTCTCAGCCCACCTACCTCACAGGGTGTCTGTTGTGGGGAGGGGGAGGGAAAGGAGATTGTAAACTGTTCTGAGACTCCAAGTGAAGGGTGGGGTATAAATCCAATCTCCTCCTCCTCCTCCTCTCCAGAATCTCAGATTAGGAGGGACATGTCCCCTTTCCTCCACTGGTTGCTCATCTTTTGGTTTCTTTGGCACATCTCGAGTGTGACAAAGAGGTGGAACATTGGAAAATGGCTAGTATATGATCCCGAGTATGCTGCCCATGGACACCATGACACTGTGTTTCCTGGCACCCACTTCCCCAAATCAAAGAGCCAAGCCTGCTTTTCCACCAGCTCAGTGGATCAGGATATGCTTTGGAAAATCATATTTTTTTGTCTGCAAGGATCTCCTGTTCTCAAACAGCTACCTCCACCTTAAGAGGATGCCTGGCTCAGAGCCTCCCAGCATTTTGTAACTGAACTCAGACCCCACGGCAGCCATTTTCTGGTGGTACCTGCTACCTGTTCTCATTATTCCAGTAATGCCCTGAGGCTCAACAAGGTCATGGACACTGTACAGATAGACGGATCTAGATATCTATACTAAATTCATTATAGCAGGCACTTTGGTTATCAAAAGGAGCTGCGGTGGCTCAAGTGGTTAAGACGCTGAACTGCAGGCTGTGGAAGGTCAGTAGTTCAGCAGTAGTTCAGCGAGTGTGCCGCATGACGGAGTGAGCTCCCATCTCTAGTTCCAGCTCCTGCCAACCTAGCAGTTTGAAAGCAAGAAATTGCAAGTAGATAAATAGGTACCAGTTCAGTGGGAAGGTAACAGCGTTCCGTGCGCCTTGGTGTTTAGTCATGCCGGGCACATGACCACGGAAACGTCTTCGGACAGCGCTGGCTCTTCGGCTTTGAAACGGAGATGAGCACCGCAACCCTAGAGTCGGACTCGACTGGCTTTCGAGCAAGGAAACCTTTACTATCACTTTACCTTGGTTATCAAAGAAAGTCAACCTGAGTCCCATTTACAGTACAACAAGATATATGTTTAAAAGATGTTAATGGCAGACTCTGGCAACATGAAGGCACTGTACTTCAAGCTGTTTGGCAGTTAGATCCTTGCCACTGGAGAAGAAAAACACTGTAAAACCTGTGACACAAAGGATTAATTGCCTCAGCCTACATCTCTTAGAAGTACTATAACCAGCAATTTGGGAACTACCTTTGGATCCCCACAACCCCTAGTTTAGCAACATCTCTTGAGAAAATATTGGGGGTGTGTGTGTGTATGTGTGAAATTGTTTGATTTTAGAAATCTTTTGAGTTATGTGTAAAGGTAAAGGTCAAGGAAAGGAATTTAGGGTGTCAGGTGGATCTGATTGTTACAATGTACGAGCCGAGGTAGAGTAGAGAGTTTAAAGGAAAGTATGAGAGGCGAAGGAGTAGTAAGAGTGCTGGAAAGGACTTCCTTGTTGGTCTAATAGTGACCCTTTTCAAACTGCCTTTGTATTCTGTTTTAGTAGCTGGTTGCTAATGGATTTTTTTGGCAATTTCAGATGGAAATTACCGTTAGTAACGGTTAGTAACCGGCTGCTAGCAGAATGGCGGGAGATCTCCAGCCACCAGATGGAGGCTGAGGAATGCCAAAAACAACATCCGTGACAAAAATAACGAAGAGTCAATAAAGATAAGTTGCAAAAATGTTTACTGTAGTCATTCTGTAGGAAATGTTCTTCTATAATCTCTCACACGCAACGAATACTGCGCAATGAAAACAATTCGTTTCACAATATTTGCATGTAGCAATCCCAGTTCTTACCAATTACTACTTATCAACTCTTGAAGGAAACATTCTATGTTGACTCTCTAATCACATTGTGAAGAAGAAGAAGAGAAGGAGAGATTGGATTTATACCCCGCCCTTCACTTGGTGTCTCAGAGCAGCTTACAAACTCCTTTCCCTTCCCCTCCCCACAACAGACACCCTGTGAAGTGGGTAGGGCTAAGAGAACTCTGACACAAACTACTCTTTCAGAGCTGTGCCAGAGCTTGTGACTGACCCAAGGTCAAATCAGCAGGTGCAAGTGGAGGAATGGGGAATCAAACCCGGTTCTCCCAGATTAGAGTCCGCACTCTTAACCACTACACCAAACTGGCTCTCAAGACCCTGGGTTCTGTGAAGACCCTGGGGTCTGTGATTAGAGAGATTATAGAAGAAAAATTTCTATAGAATTACTACAGTAAAATTTTTTGCAACTTATCTTTATTGACTCTTCGTTATTTTTGTCACGGATGTTGTTTTTGGTATTCCACTTCCTCCCGTGATCTCTCACTTTTGGCTTCTACCACCTGGAGGCTGGCAGCCCTATTGGAACTCTATATGAAAACATACATCTACTTACATGTCCAATGAACCAAAGACAAAAAGCAGGAGCAATCCATTCCCTGGCATGGATACCGCAGTCTATCCATATGGCATTTTTGTGTGTTGTATCTTCTCTATTGGAGACCTAATGTCAGAGGGGAAAAGAGGATTTGAAAAAAAACTATGCTGGGTTCTCTAGACGGCAAAAGGACAGTCACTCACACATTTTTGCTGAACAGTGTGTTTCCAAATAAATTCCTGTAAGATGCTATTTGGAATAATACATTCGTCTGTAATTCTTTTTTTTCTCTTTTTTTTTTGGTGTGTTTACGGTTATAAAATTTTTATTTCGTTTCCACTTAAACATTTATACATTTCATCTACACATCTTACATAAATATCAGTCATTCATCGCTTGATTCTTATGTACCTTTTTGGAAACTAACTTCTTGACAGTTCTTCTATCCACTTATACACCATTTCCCATCTCTTTTCATGCACCTTTTCATTCCTATTCTGTAATATTAAACTTAAGTCATCCATTCTGGCTAACTCCAGTATCTTATCTATTAATTCTTCCCTCTTGGGTATAACTTCAGATTTCCAATTTTTGGCTAATAGCAGTCTGGCAGCTGTTATAATGTATCCTAATATATACGATTCTTGCTTATTATAACCTTTCGGAATCATGTTTAGCAAATATATTTCGGGTTTTAAAGCTACATTTTTCTCCAGAATTTCTTGGATTACCTTCCGGACCATCTTCCAATATCCTTGTGTCTTACTGCACACCCACCACATATGAAAAAAAGTCCCCTTACTGTTTTACATTTCCAACATAAATTAGGATACCTGGTATAACACTTAGCTATTTTGTCCGGAGACCAATACCATCTATGGAACATCTTGTACACATTCTTCTTATATGCTACCGCTCTCATAAATTTGACCGTTTTCCACATGCTGGACCATTTTTCCTCTTCTATTTCTTTC